AAGGACAACCGGCCATCAGGTCTCATTCCTAAGCTGAGACACTCTCTGGCCCACCGAAGCGACTGGAGCGACCGCTGAGCTTGTTGCGGGAGGAGGCGTCGGGGCCGTGGTAGCTGACGCGGGCGGTGAGTCTTTTTCCAACTCGTCGTTATCGACAGCGCTCTGTGGAATAAAGGGATCAAGGGGTGAGGTCGGGGATGCTAGAGAGGTAGACTGTCAGTATCCCACACAAATGTGCTAAAACGTCAGATACCACTGACCTGTGGTGAGAGCTTCATTGGACGTAGGCGGCAGAGGAGATCCTTGGGTTGTCATGTAGTCAGGTTACGTGATACCGGGGTGAAGACCTCATAGGATGACAGCGACGTACCTCGTCGAGGGGGAACGAATGGAAGACTGTGTTCGTCGTTGAAGATAGTCTTCGTGGATGGTTGAACGGCATCTTCGATGGAAGAGGTGTTAGGTATCTGATGAGTGTAACCGAATTTGATAGGATAAATACCTTGCCCGTATCCACCATCGGTTTGCTCGACACGCCCAGAGGGAGATTCGGATTGAGCATCGCTCAAGTCTTTGTAATTGAGCACTTGATCAGTCTGATACGGTATGCAATACTCGGTCTCAGCAGAAGAGCTTACCGGGGAAGTCTATGTCCATTGCGTGATCTGGCACCGGCCTCGGTCCAACCGGCGGTTTGGGAGGTATGGGAAGCCGTCGAACGGCGACTGGTAAAGGACGAATCATCAAAAATCAAGAACGATGAATGATTGTCGTCACGCACCTCTCGGCATGACTGACGCGGGCTGAGTGGTATTGACCTCAATCATTTGCTGGTCGCTATCGTCGGTCAGCTGTGCTGCCGGAGCGACGGCTGGCGATGCTATGAGTGAGTGGACCTAGAGGAAGAGCATAAAGGACTCACGAGGTGGAGCGGTGGTAACAGCGGAAGGCTGGGGCGCAGATGCAGGCACAGGCACAGGCGGTGCAATGACGATGGGAGGGGGTGTCGACTGCGAGTCGTTGAGGTCGTTGGCGTCGTTGGCGTCGGGTTCTTCGTATATAGCTTCATTGGCCCCTAAAACTATGCGAACCAGCCGTGAGCTCCCGGGATTGACGCTTTTCTGGGAATAAATTACATACAGTCGATGAATTTTCCATCCTTTTCGACTAGAACTTGACTGCAGGCATTGTTACACACGGGACAGTAGGCAGTGGTTGGCGTAACCCTTGTTCGAACAGAACAGTTGCATGGCTCAAAACTGAAGGTTCTGAGACCTCCGTCACTGCTCATTTTCACTGAGCCGCTTGATCGGATTGAAAGGCGATCTGATGCGTCTCCGTCACTGCGACTACGACCGCCACCACGACCGGCGCCCCGTCCCCTGCCGCCGCCACCGGACTGGTTTTGATGAGCTTGTCCACCGCCATTAGTCGGGGCCTGTTGCGAGTATGGGATGCCGTTCTGCGATGATGGATTTGGGTTCACCGACATGGAGTAAAAGACCATGTTGATTGAGGAATTGTTGTCAGGGTAGGGGATTCCGGCAGCGGCCATCCCGCCGCATGCGCGTGTGCAGTAATCGAAACCTGGGTTCTTGGGATATATTTTGCATCGATCGCAAGGATCAACTTCACCATTGGTTACCGCTTGGCTGCAAATACAGTTAAAATCAAGTAAGCCATGATATTCAGCGGACACGGGATAATGCCTTTGCATACCGGGAATGGTCCTTCGAGCAATAGATGAACCGACCCTGAACGGGATTTCCACATCCCGAGAGTGGACATGTACGCTGGTTTCCGGAACCACCGCCGTAACTCCTGCCTCGTCCGCGAGAGTGGCTAGCGCTCATATCCTGGTCCTTGCGGCGTTGAGCGTCTGGGTTCTATAGTGATCGATTCACTTGGAGAGACTTTTAGGCCTTCAAGGGCGTTGAGCGTCGCAACCAATGCTCTGTACAACTGATATGTGGTTTGGTGGAGAAGTGACAAGGCGGAGGAGTGGGCGGAGGTAAAGGAGAGGTGCAAGTGGCGGAAGCTCTGGGAAAACGGACATATCGGCGAAAGGCGCAATGCAAGCCATCGCAGTTGCACGGGAGGTCCTGCCGCTTCCTCGCCGCCTCCCACCTGAAATCCCGTTGAACAACTGTCTTCTAAGCGAGCCCAGTATTTCTTTTGAAGCCACTTCTGCGCCGTATCCCTGTGTCTTGGACGGCCTTGTAGCCTTGCGCCTCCAGATCTCCATCCCGCCAGCCTTGGCCATTCTCTGACCCAGGTCAGTACGAGGCTGAAGAACTCAGAAAGCTCGCGTGTATAACTCCCTTAAGTGAAGAGACGCCCGACTATCGATGTCTTCAGGCATCTGCGAGGTACGCAGGGGACCTAATGTGGCAGCACGGCGGCTAAGAGTAGAATTCTTTTAACATAGAATTGTTACCAGAACCCCAAGAGGCGTGAACGAGATGAACGGGGTAATATCGTCATATATCCTTACTGTGACAGCTGTAACGTAAGGCGACACGAAGCCGCTCAAAGCTCGATTTTCCCGGTCTCAAGCATTCCTATTCCTGCGGCGGCTCCCGTATCCGCCAGCACGAACTCCGTGAAGCTTTGGAGTGAACGCGCCAACACGCCAATTGAGAGGAGTGGTACGAATCCGACTCCTCTCGCCAGTTTTTCCTGTCCATGACACTTGTGCCGCTCGTTTCCGTTAGTCGTTCGGACACTGCAAGAGCGTTGGCAGTCCGACACCCTCGGCGGTCCGCTTATAAAAGGCGTATATCGAATCGACTTGCCAAAGGAGATCTACCGCCGATTCGACCTTGCCTTGTGAGCCCTTTTTACTTACAGACGATGAAGCGATTACACAGTGCTATCTATAGGCAAATGAACGATGGTTGCGCTGTAACCACAACTTATTATGGCGGGATCGCCTCGTGCAATATTGTCGAAAATCTGGGCTCGACACCATGCAACTCTGAAGTTTGCGAGATATGCGAGGTGCTTCGTACCGCCTTTGGGAATCATCCGTATGGGATATCGTCCCGTGATGGAGCGTCAGTCAACTCTCTGTAACCGCGGTGGTCTATCTGCTAAATAGAGCGTAAACTCCACCCAGTTATGGATCTGGGCTATACACGTATAAGAATCCTGCAGTCGCCCGCAGTGTAGCATTTTCTCAATCTAGCTCGGACGACCAGGAGGCTTCACAGACCAATTACGCACTAGTCCAATGTCGCGTAGCAGCGGGACAGAGCTCCCAGCAAAGCTCGAAGCCGTATTCTGTAAGCTGAGAGTCAGTTTTTCCGTTTTCTCTGCTGATACCACCATATGCAGGGCTTCATCGACGACTCGGGCGTGGCGTTTTGTGGTCATCCGGCTTCGATCATTCCGACACATCTCTTGATCTATCGCGTTGCCTCAAGTGCCGCGGACCCACTCGGACAATCTGAACCGCGTAATTTATACACAAAACCAGTATGGCTTGCCCGCAGCCGTTCAACCGCAGAGACCAAGGGTCTTGGTGAGACCTTGCGCATACTTTCTGCTTCGTGAATAACAGATCCCGTCGCATAGCCAAGAATCCCGGCTCAGGGCCGAACGCGACGAGCGCTTCCTCTCTGAGCGGCAATAGAAGTACAACTAAAGGTGTCTCCTCTACAACGACAGCAGCAGGGAAAACTTCAGACACAGATGCGGAGCGCTCTGCTAGTAGCAGAACAGGGAACGCCGGGGCCTCTGGGACACAGCAAGGTGATACTTTGGCCAATCTCTCCCATATCCAGAGTACTAAGCTCAATAATAGCGCCGTATCAGAGTAACTTGGAATCTCCCGGACCGGGTACTTTCTGTAAGTCCGCCGCCGTACACAAGCGAGACAGGACTCATCTCATGCTTCAGATGTCAATACACCTTCGGGTGCCATCCCTGTCCAACAAGCACCTCCGGGCGTTGCCTTATGTAAGATAATGGATCACGCTATCTCATGAGCTGGGCTTAATGGGATACTTTGTTAAGTTGTAATGGGACCGGACGGACAACTGCACCCGGCCGTACCAGCAGGCGAGACCAGTATTTTCACTCTCACAGAACCCAGATCTCATACAGGCAGTTATATAGGCCCTATGAACTATTCGCAGATTCCGAATACCCTGACACCGGGTACCGCGGCGAGCATTGGCGCTTTGCGTTAGCCCTCTTTCCGTCGTGTACTAGCTCAATATCCCCGTTAACGATCTTCCTGACACAGCTTCTCCTGCTCTCGATCCCGCGACAGCGGTGCTCCGGGCGCAACTACGAAGCACAGCACCGCGAGGCAAGTCAACATTGTGCAGTGTGTATAGCTCTCTAACATCATTTGGTAGACCAACGCGGACGAGGACGAGGATTCCGATTGAATGGTGCTGACGGTTATTCTTCGTGTCGCACCGGTCCCTCGTTAATGCTGACCCTCCTCAATACATAGCTGCTGCAGCCCGCAAATTCGTGAAAAGGAACGCCGAATCTCGACTGGACGAAGACGACGACTTCGACTTCGACTATGATGACGACCTTCCCGACCATCCTCCAGGACATCAGGCGCCTACATCTTGACTGGACGAAGACGACTACTTTGAATACTAGGAACCTGGCCAAATCTCATCTCCGCCCAACGGGAAGTGTACGACTGAATTCTCCTTTTGTCACCACCCTCATCCCTTCAAAAAAAGCTGGTATCGGAAGAATAAAAAGTTCGAGGAATTTGTTGTAAATAGACGTTGATAGTATGTCCGTGCTTGTCTGGATCGTCCTTCTTTAGATGTAGACTAGACTCCTCCAGCAAGGAAGCCGAGCACGGATAACTAGACTATTATACAAGAAGTCCGGCCATGACAACGCTGCGGATGGAACGGTGCAACACGGCTTGGGCAAAGACTGAGCGGCGACGTCAGCGTGCCTTGTCGGCCGGCCGCATTGAATAAGTAACCTAAGAAAAATTAGAGGCCATCCCGGATTCGAACCGGGGTTGTCGGAAGGTCTCTAATCCCAGAGGAACATCAGAATCCGAAGTGATAACCGCTACACTAATGAACCAGCGCAGCGCCGGGATCCAGGATGCGGTGATAAGTCTATGTTAAACTTGATTTAACTGGATGTCGGAAGGTTCGAACTTGTCCCAGATCTCGGAGATTCAATGCGGAGCGATGATTCTCGAAGATAGTGGTTGTCGACCAGCTCACAACACTGAAACGCGTCCATCTTGTGTGTCCAATGACCAAGTCCCTCATGGAATTCCTACCCCGGGTTGGAGGTCCTCCATACACCTCAAGTGAACCGTGTGACGTTTGGTCTAAGCCCCAAACCACCAGACTCCTTCCCTGTCGAATATCCTCTCCGGGGCTCAAACTCGACCACCTTGGTCATTGCTTATCTACCACAGAACCCGCCGTTCGCAATCATTGGATTCAGGATGATGAGAAAACTGGCTCAACAGCCAGCTACACAGCTTTGCGTGGTGGGTTGCATCCATTGAACTGAAGGCGTGCTCACGCTTAAAGCACTATTATTTGAGAACTGTGGACTTCAACCTAAGTTCGCAGGATTTGATTATTGTGGCAAAAGTATGACCGATTCACTTGACGATAACCCCTGGAAGAGTGTGACATGATGAAGCCTCGCTGCGCAGCATGCTTGCAAGAGTTTGAACAGAGAAAACGGGTTAGTATATTAGTGTGGCAGAGCTACTAGCAGGCTCAACAGTCTTAAATCCTGTTTTTTAGACTTCTGTCGTCCTTTCAACCCCTCCCTCCGCCAGTGAGCGCTTAACCACTGGCCCTTCATAAGAGGCTGAAGGCTCAATAACTACACCCCTTGCGTCCTTCATCATAGAATTGAGCTCCATTCAAGGCAGTCTAACAGGAAATCAAGCACTATCCCCGGTTTCGGTCATTCCCGTTCCAGCTGCTGGCGGGCATCGGGAGGACACTTCCATTCGACCGGAAGATCTTTCAAGCCCGCTAGGAAATCGCAGTAAGTTTCTCAATCCCGGTATAACACTTGTCCATATATTTGATTTTCTGTAGTAAGTGATATCATGGCACAATGCTGGAAATCAAATGGAGTGCAACTGGCCATGGTGAAGGCGATTTATCGCCTCGAGCTCCCAGCGAGTACTTATCGTCTGTTTGACACAGCGCTGTAAGTTAATGAAAGAGCTGCTCATATAGGTACTGACTTCCTCAAGGTCACCAGACAGATGAACGAGGGGTGCACTATCACTACCAGCTATTATGGGGCTCGAGACACCTGTGGACTCAGTAACGACACTCCAGCAAGAGCTAATCCTTGTATCCTTGAATATTGTCCCTTGTGCACGGCTATACGGAGTGCATTCGGATGTCCTCTCTACGGAAACTCCTCAAACGATGGGATGTAAGAGTTGAGCTTTCGAAAAGGGGTTGGCTGTTTTTCTCCTGACTCTCAGCTCTTTACTTCGAGCAAGATACGGACCTGGAATTTGTACACACTTGAACTCGGCGGAGGCGCATTATCGCGTAACTGAGAAGTCAAGTAAGGGACTGCATAGACAATCATTCGCGATGTTACAATGTCGCATGGTCACTGAGGGAAGTGACAAAGCGTACGCTGTGAGTATGTAATTCGGAGTGATCGCGACCAGTTGAGACTTAAAGGAAGAATTAATTAAAGGCTCGTGTGGAGGAAATGGGCCTCGTTTTTTGCGCTCAGGCTATCACTATCATTCCGACGCACTTAATTGTTTACGATACATACATCGAAAATGAAACTCCGACCGAGCAAACAGGTATGTTCATTCACAAAGGTTTCGACTTTGTAGACAGAATCGAAAGCTCTTCATTCAAATTGGTTCCGTTGTTGGAAAGTAATCTCCTCTATCACTCGTTTACCTTCCTCCTTTTACCATCCTCGTATCAAGGCAGTTTAAAGCACCGGCCTTATCTAACAGATTTCCTTAAATAGGTTCCTTTCGGTCTGTAGGATTACAAGATGGCCGGACTGGGCTTTCAGCTGGGTCGTCAGCAGATCCTTCGCGCATAATCTCAAAACCTCCTGGTAAAGCTCATCTGTTCCAAGGGATGACTTGAATAGGCTTGCTTATCGTCTTCCGCAAGACGTCATGTCTTCAGTAGGTCAGGAGTTTGCTAATGACGACGTCCAATCCTCCGGTGAGCTTGTGTTTCTTTTAAATGGCCTAGTGTTACCCTATTAGCTCAAGGTACTACCATCAGGTTGCAGCCTTGAGAAAATGATTTCTCGATGGAATATGGAAGACAACATTGAGGACGAGGAAGTGGAAGATGAACCTGATGAACCTGATGAACGGCACGTCACCCTTCCTAACAACGCAAAAGCAATTTTCTTCTACGAGGGAAACGGGCTTTACAACGAGTTCACTTCCGCCGGACCTTATCCTATCACTTTCAGAGGTAAACAGTATCCTACCGCCGAACATTTGTACCAAGCTAGAAAGGTCTGCTCTCAAGTTGCCCGAGCCGGCTCCAACCGATGCGTCTGGTTACGTAGCTGACTATATCACTATGCAGTTTTTGGATCATCGACCCACTCTTGCGGAGCACATCCGACGCGGAAGTGATCGACCTCGATTCGCTTTGACCGAAGCTCGTAGATTCCAAAACGAGACTCGACAGGATTGGAATGACATCTGCATCTCTGTTGTAAGCGTCTATGTGCTGTTATCGCCACCGAACTGAGAATCCTTTGCTGCTACAGATGGACGAAATTCTAGAGCTCAAATTTAGCCAGCATGTTATACTTCGGCGCATGCTTGTTGCGACGGGTAGCCGGATTCTAATCTACGTAAAACATCAATTTAAGCGTGATTATCTCACATGCTGACCATTCACCCTGTCCCATGTAGAGCTGCGGGAAATATGATGACTTTTTGGGAAACGGGGCCGACGGGAATCGGCGCAATGAGCTTGGCCTTGCCTTGATGAGACTCAGAAGCAAATTGACGAAGCGTGAGGTCATTGAAGAAAAGTAAAGAAAAGGTGCATATTACAACTCTAGGGTTTCTCGTATGTCTATACATTTAACTTCTACGCCAAATCCCGAGGTACTCCCTACATACAAATGTCCAAGCAGGTGTTTGTGGTATTTCGAAGCCGCGGCCACATTGACTGATCACCTCAGACCATCGCGCTACCGTTGAGTAGATGATTATTTACCTCTTTACGTCACATTTATGGATTGTGTTGCCCCGAAGGAGGAAATGATCACGTGCACTACTATGGACAAGGAAGAAGCAGCACGATCTTTGTTCCTAATCAATTTATGACCCGATCGACCTTCCTGGCAGCAGCAGACTGAGCGCGTTAATGAGATCACAGTATGCAAGTCCGGAAGAAAGTGGCAGTTGTCAAACGCGACGGTTGCTAATGGATTTTACCATGGAATTGAGGAGATTTCAAGAGTCAAGGGAAGAGTCTTGAGAGCGAGACCCCTCGGTGGCACGGAGCGAGACGAGCATGCAGCAGAGATGACGATCCTTTCAAGCTGTCTCTCTGTGAATAAACGTGGTGCCGAATGTGCTCCATGGTACGCGACTCCCTTCAAATTGATAAAGAAAATCCAGCGGGAAAAGGTTTTTTGCGGTAAGACCGCATGTTACGCATCGATCAGGCTTTGTATTCGACCGATTTCTCTATTATTTAGGTTTCGACGAGGGATATATACTTCCGTCTCAACATTCAAGAAGGTCTAGGTCACCCAAACCGCCTCTTTGGAATGTCTGACAAGTTAAGATGAACGGCAGGGCATGGGACTATTCGGCCAACCCTTCAATTCCACAATACTCGACCGCCCTCCTTAGGACGTTGTCGAGGGGAAAGTCCTTGACTGCCTCACCGAATGGCTACCATTCTGTTAGTATTGAAATGCGGTTCATTTCAACACTAAGCGAGACCGTGACATCCCCGCCAACTGGGTCCGTGAATTCAATTGGTAGTACTCCATTTATGACGACGTGGTCATTATTTGAACGTCTCCGAGTGGTTGAACGGGTACTGATCGGTCCGCCTACCAGATTCTTTACAACGACGATGCCATACGACCTTCTTGGATGCTGGTTTTGAAGGGTTGATTGGTTGCATCAGGATACCCTTGTCTTTTGCGTTGACTTTAGAATGTGAATACTTCTTGTGTCCGAGACATGAACAAATGAACGGTTCCTTACAATTAGACCGGTTGTGGCAGAAGTTTGGCGTGGTCTCGGCGAACTCACGGTCGACCCTGACGACTCACCTCCCACCTCCCTCCACTTGAAACCACACCGCACAGAATGAACGAAATCATTGACAACCTCTGGCTCGGTGGAATCGACTCCTTCTATGACATAGACAAGCTCCGAGAGAAGAACATTGGATATGTCCTCACCGCAATGCGTGGGGATATCACGTTACCGATGCCAGTGCGGACTAGCCCCATCGTCTCCGCTCAGTTTCTGAATCACAACATGATCACTAATGTCATAGCAATGGGTCCGCTATCAAGTTGAACTTGATGATACGGACTATGATGATTTACTCGTATGCCTACCGCCGGCCGTTGCCTTCATCGAAGCTGCGCTGAAAAGTGGGAAAGGAATTCTCATCCATTGCGTCGCTGGAATAAGTGTGTTTCTACAGCACAATATCTCATACTGCGGCCTCTCAGCTAAAATACCCTTTTTTTGAATCAGGTCGGAGTGCTTCGATCGTAACGGCCTACCTCATGTATTCGCAGAAAATTGACCTTGGGAAGGCATTGAAAATTGTACAAGGGAAACGTCCGATTGTTGGGTATATCCTTCCTCATGATTAGGACTGAGATTTACGGGCAAGAATATTGACCCGTTGACTCCTAGCCCCAATGAATCTTTCCTCAAGCAGTTGGAATTGTTTCATGCGGCAGCCTGTCAGCCTTCTAGCGAGAATCCAGCGGTTCGGCGGTTCTACCTCGAGAGAGCGGTGCATCAGATCATGAGTATGCATCATTGCTTTAGAGTCTCTTCTGGGAAAATACTAATGATTCTGTATGAAGAAGGGGAGACGGCC